CCCCAAAACCCCAAAACCCCAAAACCCCAAAACCCCAGGTTACAAAAATAGTTTAATTTGACAAATTAATCTATATATTTTATCAATTAAGATAAACAATGATCAAGGTAGGTGGATTGTGTCTCTCTAAAAAATCTCGATTTTCAGAAGTAAATTTTCCCATTCATACCTTAAAGTAATTAGAGACAACTCTATTGTGATATTTGTAAAGTGAGAATAGGTAAAAATCTATTTAAGATTCATTATCAGCAGGCTCATAGTCTCAAAGCTGTAATCAACAGTACTCTAGCTGAAAATGCATCAAATATGAATACTCAGGGTACTGCTGTAGGATAGATAAGTGCTCGCCCTACAACTTCTCTAAATAATCCATCCTAGTAAATACCAAAGCTAAATTTACAATCGAAGTCATATGATAGCAGGCTTTAATAAAACTGAGGGAGTAGCATTGATCTTCCTTCTTAAAAATCAACATTTTCAAATGTCCTTTCATAATAGGCTCGCATATCATAGATTGGTAAATCAGATTAGCAATCAACTGTTGAATCTAGAGTTTCACATAACAGGTCAAAAAGATCTTCTGCTTGAGACGGCTAGCGGACTTAAAGACGAAAGAATGAGTTCAAATCACCATATAAATGGGATCCACATTTTGATAAGAGAATTGCAGAAAGGAAAATTTTTAAGGAATAAACGCAATATATGGTCAACTAAAATCAAAAGAAGTACCTCATCTATAAAGATTGGTACAACGAATGGATAGATTTTCTATATGGCGAAATTGAACAGCCTCCAAAAAAGATTGATAATACTTACCTAGTCAAATTAATAAATGAGGATGGAATAAATTCACTATAGTGAAATGTAGATTATTACTAACTACCATTTTAAACATGGTAACTGCTGTCAAATATCTATGGTGGTGGTCCCCAAATAATGATACAGCTGGACGGTAATTTGGTTATAGAACAATTAAGAAAGCCTGGATTATTGAAGTAATTGATGCATGTGAAAGTTTTAAATTTAATGTCAAATAATACTAAAGACTAAACTTTAAATGGATTTGGAGTTGAGGAAAGATAAATAAGTCGACTTTCAATTATTAGAGATCACCTAGACATAAGCAGCTCGAGTCAAGTAATGACCAATAATAAATCATTTGACTAGTCATTTAATACTAGCTCAGTCTTGTCAAGCTAGTCAAGAAAAACTAAGTATATAATATCCTCAACAGTTGAAGAAGAAGTTATTGGCAATAGATCGACTGGTAATCAAAGTTTTTTGTCAGGTAATCATAGAAGAGCATTGAGTTAAATGTCAAACAGTAAAAATATTCCACCTGGATTAATTGGGCTAGATAATCAAGGCAATAATTGTTATATGAATGCAGTTCTGTAGTGTTGCCTTGCATTAGAACCATTTAGAAATAAAATTTAAGAATAATCCTATGACTTTGATCTTACAAATACACCATTTTGTTCAGCTTTTTAAAAAGTTATTTTTATCAGTGAAAAGAACTAGCTCCGATCTTGGATTCTGCCTCAAACTTTATAAAAATTGGTCCATCAGAAATTTTAACCTATCCTTTAGCATGATGCTCACGAGTTTTTCATTTTCTTTATGACTTAGTTGTCTGAAGAGTTATAGAAACTTAACAAAAAGAATGAGTAGAAGGAGTAGATTATGGAATTGAAGAAATAAAAACAGAATGAGAATGATCATAATCTGTAATCTTCTGAATATCATATTAGAGATGGTGACTAATTAAGTGATACTGATAATATAGTATTGGATGATATAGATATAAGCATACCAAATGAAAGAGGGAATAATGAGGACGGTGGTGATAGGTAGGAGACTCATGAAAAATGGACTAGTTACAAGGAAAGGAATAACTCATTCATTGATCATCTATTTACAGGAATGTTTAAGAGTATAGTCATTTGTGCTCGATGTAAGACAAAGTCTTGTACATATGATCCTTTTATGGTTTTAAGTATACCAGCGATATATTCTTCAATAAGCTAGAGTCTAGATAACTTTATGAAAGAAGAGAATCTCTAAAATTACTTTTGCACTAAATGCAAAAAGGAAACTAAATCAGCGACTCTGAAAGTTTAAATCGCTTAATTTCCAGATATTCTTGTAATTCATCTGAAAAGATTTCAGCAATTTCCATTTATGAAGAAAATTCGAGGGTTTTAAAGGTATCCCTTAAAGTTGGATGTGAGTGACTATGTCAATAGTGATAAATCAAACGAAATCAAATATCACTATGAACTAAGTGGAATAGTAGTACATTGGGGGACATTAGAGCATGGACATTATATAGCGGTTGTAAAAAAGATAGTATAGGGGAAGAACAAATGGTACTATTGCAATGATCGTAATGTAGGGGAATGTGAAGAAAAACTAGCCTTATCACAAGAAGCTTATCTTCTCGTTTATTCTAAAGTTAATAAATAATTATGATTTGGATTAGAGGAACTCTTCCTGTTTAAAATAAGTGTAATTTGCAAAGAAGCGAAGGATCTTATTAAATATATGCGTATAAATAGTTTTATTATTACTTTTATTTAATATTTTTCAAAATTTATCCTTATTTTAAGCATGGGGTTTTGGGGTTTTGGGGTTTTGGGG